GCTGTTAAATGAAAATTTCGACTGAATTTAAAATTAGCTTTGACTTGGATTATAATTGGTTTTGATTTCAATTGAAATTGATTGTTTGGATTGAAATCATGCCTCGAAGAAAAATAGTTCGAACAGTCGAGGAAGAGGAAAAATTTCAGTGTTTAAAACGAGAAAGAAAGGCAAAATGGCAAGCTGAAAAACGGGAAAAAGAACGATTGATGATAATACAGATTGTCAATTTTCGTCAAATATTAATGAGAGTTCTTTAAATTTACGACAAACTTCATCAAATTTTGCAAGAATGATAATAATAGATTCTCAGGCCTCTTCATCATCTATGAAAGTGGTATATCCAATAAGCGAAACAATTACTACTGCATCACAAGTAATTGATACAACAACTATTACAAATGCTTCTATAATAAAAGATAATAATGGGGTTACTGCTGTAAATGATAGTATAAAATTACTTAATGTTAATAATGAAATAACTGAAAATGTTAATAAATCTAATGTGGAAGTTATATTAAATAATAGCATTCCTACCCCTATACCTAGCACATCGAATAGATTAACAAGTTTAGATAATAAATTTGGAGATTCAATCATTTTACATAAAAACAAAAAAGAACAATGTCCAGATATTATTTTAACAAATAACAAAATACTAAAACCAAAATCAATGTCTTCTAATATAATTGATAAAAATAAAAAAGTAAAGCGGCAGGAAAACTATCGAGCTTTAGAAAAGGGTTATATGAGTTTTAACGTATGTAATGTTGTTCAATTACAAAACGTTGAAGAACATTATATAGGAGAAATGAATATATATTGCGAACATTGCGGTGCAAAACATTTTAAATCTGAAAAAGTAGCTAATAAAGGAAATTCATTTAATGATTGCTGCAGTCATAGGTCTGTTGAATTAGATCCTTTACCACAACCTCCGCATGAATTGTATGAATTATTTATGGGAAATCATTCAAAATCAAATCATTTTTATAATCGTATTCGTGGTTACAACAATACATTTTCATTCGCGTCCTTTAATGCAAAAATATCTGATTTCAGTGCGCAAAGACGTGGACCTTATTGTTTCAAAATTCAAGGACAATTAGATTGAAGTTTTTACTTGAATTGAAATTAGTTTGGATTCAAATAGAAATTGGTTTTGATTAGATTTAATTTTGATTTTAATTGAAATTGGTTTTGATTTGCATTGAAATTTATTGTAACTTGAATTAAACTTATCATTGATTTAAACTGACATTGATTTTGATTTGAATAGAAAATTGTCTTTAACTGAATTTGATTTTGACCTGTAGAATATAATTGGCTTTGACTGTGATTAAAATAAATTTTGACTCAAATTGAAATATCCCAGGTAAGGTTTGCCGACTCTCACCCGATGTTGAACGTTGGGCCGACGTTGGCGAATTCACGGCAAACCGACAGTCATTAATCGAACATGGTGCGACGTCGGCCCGACGTACATTAGCCGACACTTATTCGATGACGACCTTTGGCCAATGTCTGGCCAACGTTGGCACTATGTTGGCAACTGGTTGTTACGCCAACCTCGGCGCGACGTCGGCACAGGCTAAGTTAGCCGACTCTTATTTCAAGACAACTTCAGGCCACGGCCGGGCCAAGGTTGGGTCAACGTTGGCAGTATGTCGGCAACCAGTGGTCACGCCGAACACGGCGCGACATCGGCCCAACGTACGTTAGCCGACTCTTACATATTGACGAAGCTCGGGTCAACGTTGGCAGTATGTCGGCAACCAGTGGTCACGCCGAACACGGCGCGACATCGGCCCAACGTACGTTAGCCGACTCTTACATATTGACGAAGCTCGGGTCAACGTTGGCAGTATGTCGGCAACCAGTGGTCACGCCGAACACGGCGCGACATCGGCCCAACGTACGTTAGCCGACTCTTACATATTGACGAAGCTCGGGTCAACGTTGGCAGTATGTCGGCAACCAGTGGTCACGCCGAACACGGCGCGACATCGGCCCAACGTACGTTAGCCGACTCTTACATATTGACGAAGCTCGGGTCAACGTTGGCAGTATGTCGGCAACCAGTGGTCACGCCGAACACGGCGCGACATCGGCCCAACGTACGTTAGCCGACTCTTACATATTGACGAAGCTCGGGTCAACGTTGGCAGTATGTCGGCAACCAGTGGTCACGCCGAACACGGCGCGACATCGGCCCAACGTACGTTAGCCGACTCTTACATATTGACGAAGCTCGGGCCAACGTTGGCAGCATGTCGGCAATCGGCGGTCACGCCAATCATGGCGCGAACTCGGCCCAACGTACGTTAGCCGACTCTTACTTATTGACTTGAGGCTACCGTCGGGCCAATTCACCAGTCAAAGGAATTCCTTTGACTGGTGAATTGGCCCGACGGTAGCCTCAAGTCAATAAGTAAGAGTCGGCTAACGTACGTTGGGCCGAGTTCGCGCCATGATTGGCGTGACCGCCGATTGCCGACATGCTGCCAACGTTGGCCCGAGCTTCGTCAATATGTAAGAGTCGGCTAACGTACGTTGGGCCGACGTCACGCCGTGTTCGGCGTGACCACTGGTTGCCGACATACTGCCAACGTTGACCCGAGCTTCGTCAATATGTAAGAGTCGGCTAACGTACGTTGGGCCGATGTCGCGCCGTGTTCGGCGTGACCACTGGTTGCCGACATACTGCCAACGTTGACCCGAGCTTCGTCAATATGTAAGAGTCGGCTAACGTACGTTGGGCCGATGTCGCGCCGTGTTCGGCGTGACCACTGGTTGCCGACATACTGCCAACGTTGACCCGAGCTTCGTCAATATGTAAGAGTCGGCTAACGTACGTTGGGCCGATGTCGCGCCGTGTTCGGCGTGACCACTGGTTGCCGACATACTGCCAACGTTGACCCAACCTTGGCCCGGCCGTGGTCTGAAGTTGTCTTGAAATAAGAGTCGGCTAACTTAGCCTGTGCCGACGTCGAGCCGAGGTTGGCGTAACAACCAGTTGCTAACATAGTGCCA